TCCACATGCTATGGATCCAAGAGAATAATCAGGCTACTGAAAAAAGGTTTATATTAATACTTCCCCACCACTCCTTAACAGAAACTAGTCTGAGCTGAACTGGTGAGTGGAAAAACTGCCCCTTACTCCCCACAGACAGGTATTTCACAACCCCCAGCACACACAGATCCACCAAGAATGATAAACCTAAGCTTCTTAAAAGTGCTAATATTATAAAAACGATTTGGTAAAGCCTTTCATTCTCAAACAGTTGGTCTCTTGACAACGTGTCTCTGCAGCTCCTAAGCACACATATAATAAAAACCTCATCAAGAACAGATCCCTGCAAAGGGACAGATATGTGGTTGGAAGCTGTGAAAGTTCACACTTCAGAAAAATCAAACCAACAAACTGCTGAGCCCTGTTAATTGTGTTTTGTTAAAAAAGAAACAACAAAAAACCCCAACAAACCACCAACCCAAAACATAAGCTCTAAATAGCTTATCAGAGAGATTCTAAAACCTGGACTATCTGTTTAACTGCAGGCTTTATCAACCCGCCATAGATTTCTTACATTAAAAAAAAGTATACGGATTACAATTTTGATTTCTAAAGCATATAAAATCTAGAGAAAGAATACTGAAACTGGCAGGGTGCACATGCTTTTAAAATCACAAAGAAATACTTCTGTCAAGTTTTTTGTCCATAGATGAACTCGGAAACCATACTTCTATGACAGACTAGCACAGAAACACACACACAAACGCAAGACTAAGCTTAGTGTCTTCAGGTGGCTCATTAAAAATAAAATACCCCACCATATACCTGGTGCTTGAAAGAGAATAACAGAAAGCAGAGCATGCGTGTGAGCTGGGGGAGCAGAGAGCCAGCAATGCCCTTCCAACACTCTTCCAAGCACACGAGTTCTCCACAGCAACAGGCAGCTGGCACGGAATGTATTTTTAAAGGAGCTGTATGCCTTAAAGTCCTCTCCACGTGAATAACGTCTCTTCAGGAGAACGCCAGCTTAGATGCTCTTGTTTTCATGAGACAGAAGAAACTGGCAGGATGGCTACAAAGCCCAGGCTGTTTGGGGTAGGTTTGTTTTTTTGGTTTTATTTTTTTGAGAAGTGCTAGAGGAAGCATGTAGAACTCCTTCAGTGTAATCTGTTTAATGTTCCTGCAGCACCTTCCATTAGAGTCGAGCTCACGCATGAAGTGTCCTACAAGGACAACTTCAGAACACCCAGCTCTGCTCTTGTGTTGGGAGCACAGAAGGAGGATGCAGCAAGAAAGGCACTGAAATTACATTTCCTCCAGGGGCTTTCATCCAGTCCTTTAACACAGGAGACGGACAAGTTACTAGTGGATCACTTCATAGATTTTTCTAATTCTGGAAGCCAAATTAAATAACTGGGCTGACAGAGAGGTTTGGCTTTTTTTCAGAACCAACAGAAGAGATTAGATCTCTTGCAGTTTTAGGTGAGATAAATCTAAGGGAGCAGTTCACAGACACTGCTTAGCCTCTGCTTTCTGAAATATCATCATGATGACTCAAAGCACACAGCCTAGTATTATCTGTTTGATTTAAAAAAAAAAACAAAACAAAACCAAGTCTCTTCCAGCAGTTATTTATGCCTAACAGTACAAGGAATAAATAGGCCTCCATTCCCAAAATCTTGGAATTTGCCCTCTACTAAAGCCACGAAGAGAACTGTAGCTGAGTGACTTCACTGATAAACAGAGCCAGCTTCAGAGTTCCTTGGAGTCCCAAGTTTTACAGCCCCCAAACAAATCAATCTCTTGCTTTTACTGGCTGTGTATAAAACATAACATTTGCTTCAAGAAGTGCTTGTCCAGAAGTCTTTTGAATACAAAACAGGGGAAGTCACTAACGCGGGGGGGGGATGGGGGGGAGAAGAAGGGGATGAGAACCAGTAGTTTGTTGGGTTGTTGTTTTTTTGAAGGAGTGCTGACCTACCAGAGCTAAAACACCCATCTCTAACTTCTTACTATATCAGTGCAAAAGAGAGAAAGAAAGAAGAAGAAAGAAAAAAATAAAATTGCAGTCTTTGGCAATCTAGGGCTCCTAATCATTAAGACTAACACAGAACAGAAGAACAATAAAAAGAGCAATTGCATTGTAAATTTATGTACCATGCGCAGGTTATGGAATGCGGTGCAATAGGGCACTGTGCAGTGATAAAACTGCATTCCTTACAAAGTTAACAGCTTTAAACTCATGATTTGTACATGTGGGCAATGCTGAATGACCTTCATGCTTTCCAACATTCACTGGAAGGCAGATTTATTTGTAATCACAAGTCAGCTGTTTTGTTTTGGGGCATAAACATATAGTTAGAAGAACAAAAGTTTAAACTTTGAATTAAGTAGCAGAGGCAGAGGCCAGTACATTAGCTTTAAAATCTGAATTTGAAGACTGTACTCCAAAATCCAGAGTGGATAACATTTAAATCTGAGGGAACCCTGATTGAATGGCTGTTTGCTGCTCCTTTTTCTTTTTTTTTTCTTTTGAAAGAGAAAGAGATTTTCATAGTTCAGTTCTATTATAAAACAGTAGCCTCTCCAACACATGCCTTATGTAAAAACACGTCCTGTTTCAACGCAGGAGATGCAACACTCACTACAGAGAAATGAAGTTATATTGCTCTTAGTGTGAGACACATAATACAAGACTATCCCTTACCTAACAAAGACAATCCATCAATTCTTATTTTACAAAAGCATTGCCTGTCTCTTATTCCCAATTTTCTTAGACATGAAATAAATAATAGTTTGGAGAAAGTGCCTACTAAACTGGACTGCAGTAGAACAGAGCAGTATCCTAGGACAGTATTATTAACATACCCAGCAGCTGCTCATTGCACCAAAACCATCCTCAGGATACAATGAATAAGAAATACTGCTTTTTGACTAAAAGACCAAGGCGATAAACCTTGGATTATCTAAAACTTCCACATCATAGCTCTTATGAAATCTGCTGAAAATGAAGTTCTAATTTAGATTTAAGGGAAGTAAAGAGACTACAAGTAAAGAAAACTATTTTTGGATATGCAGACATGAGGGAATGGGGCAGGATTAATTATTTTTCCTGCACATCCAAAATCAAGACAGTTAAGAAGTATATAGAAGCATATAGTTCCTGATGTTCCAAAACAAATGGCAAAGAAAATCTTATTTACAAGCATTTGACATAAGGCAATAGGCTTCTGGTTCTCAACTTCCTATGACTTACAGTAAAGAATTTAATTACTACTTCCCAATGTGAAGTGCCCTGTTCTCATGTAACTAATAAAAAGACCCCAACAAACAACTGCTAAATAGGATGAGATAGCTAATATTGAACACATCACAGATTTTAGTACAAAATTGCCAACAGAAGCAGACAAGACAATTCATAAAACTACACAGGTCTTTATATAAGGTTAATGGTTTGCTAGGGAAGTACCAAGGTTCACAAAATGGATAATTTTTTGTTTCTTTTTTAAATCCGATTTGAACTTCGTGCATTCTTACTGACAAGACTTCACTGAAATCTCAACAGCGACCAATGGGCTGAGGATATTTTACTTATAGGTGTTTTCAAGCACCTAATTAATAAAATAAGAGACCGCAGGAAAGCCTAAATACTCAGCCCTTTAGATACATACTTCAGTTTGCTATCATGCTGCCTGACCCAGGAGCAGCAATCTGAGCACAGTACTTGGATGACTAACACCAAAACGGGTTGAAAACAGCAGCAATCATGACAGAGACAATAAAGAACCCTGGCAATCACACTCAGCTCCCGTGAAAGAAAAATGATTAAAAATCCCTTTTAAAAAACGCAGAGAAAAAACACTTATGATGCTAAAACATACTTTCTTAAAGGCCACTTTTCACTAAAGGGATTATATATGGTATTAACAATATGCATATAAATAAAGCGTATGGCATAAGCAAATGTTAGCATAAGATCTTGGACGCCCTTAAGAATGAAACTTTAAGGCAAACAGATTACAAAGTGCCGTAATAAAAACACTGATATATCAAGGGAGGTGTGTGTGGTGTTAAAAAATAGCGATCAATTAAAAAACCTGTCTCCTGAAATGAAAGACACAGAGATATATTAAGCTAAAAGAACATAATCTTCGGAGATCTTAATATAAGCCACTGTGTCTTTATCAGAGTACTTCAAACGGAAAATTCCTCTGAAGCTTATCATTTAGAGAGAGACCAACATAGAGAAATGATGGGATAAGAGGGCAGAAACAGACTGGGTATTCAACAGGGATGCACTGAGGGGTGCTTTAGGATGGCTCTCCCTCTCTCCTGATGCACAGATGAGGGAGACACAAGGAACACGTACAAGGCAGCTCCTTTTCCTAAAAGATATCACCTCAGGTCTCCCTCCAGATAAACAGGGTGTTTAAGGCATGTTTTCTGCAACGTGCAAAAAAACTATCAGGCAGACTAGTGGGGGGTAAACCAAGGGGGTGAGCATGAGGACTGGCGGTGTGGCGTGGTGAGCCTCCCCTCAGTTGCACTGGAGAACAATTCCAGCTGGAGGCAAAGGGGTGCACAGGTTAGGGCACGGCTGATTACAAAGACAAGCTTAAAACTAGGGTAAGGTGTAACGGGTACGAAAAGGTGGCAAGCAAGGTCTGAGATGAAGACAATGTTTAGAAAAGAGAGTAAGCAGCACAAACACATAGGGGGTCCAGAGAGGCTGCTAGAGCAGAAGAGCACGGGCTGAGGGTGCAGCGCACCGGGTACGTGGGAGGGAAAGAGCAGCGTTATTTGCCTGGGAATGCAGAGGGAAAGCGCAGGGCACAGCCTGGAGGGCGGGAGGGGAGGACAGGTGAACCGGCTGAGGAAAGGTTGGGGGCAGGTTGGGGCAGGGCTGGTTAGCAGCAGGCTGCAAGGCACCGGGGTGTGTGTGTGTGTATGTGTGTGTGCTCAGCAGCGGCAGGGCTCGGGGCGGCGGGGCAGGGGGGAGAAGGCGGCGGGTCGGTGGGTACCTGGGCGTCTTGGCGGCGGCGCTCTCCCGGCGGTCCAGCACTCCGGGCACGCAGTTGGTGAGCTCGGTCCAGTCGGCGTGTAGCCCGCAGCTCCAGCCCGTGGAGAAGCGGGAGAAGAGCCAGGTCTCCCGGCGGTTGGGGCGGTAGCAGGTGCACTTCTTCTGCCCGGGCCGGCAATCGCAGGGCACCTCCAGCCGCACGTTTTGCACCAGGTGGCGGCCGAAGGTGGTGCCGCCGGTCTTCTGGATGTGCAGGAAGACGATCACGTCCTCGCCCTTCATGTCGAAGGCGAGCTCCCGCTCCAGCTCCCGCACGGGGAAGTAGTACTTCTTCACGTAGTGCGGGTCCGGCGTGGGGAAGAGGTCCAGCTCCTCCGAATAGGAGCGGCCGCTGGGGGAACCCAGGCTCAGCCCCGGCCCCACGTACTGGTACAGGATAAGCATGAAGCACACCGAGACGGCCACGATCAGCAAGAACTTGCTGGTCCTCTCAACCATGGTCCTTCCCGCACGCTTCATGTGTCACCATCTCCCGGGGCTGCCAGCGCTTGGGCAGACGGCGGCGGTGCCGGGGGGCGGGCGGGCGGCGGAACCGGGCGCCTGTGCCAGCCGCCTCCCCCCCCCGCGCTGCTCCCCGGAGCAAGAGCCGAGCGCTTCCTGCCCGCGCCGCCCCGCGCCCGGCATGCACAGCGCCGCCGCCCGCGCCGCCCCGAGCCCGCCCGGCTGCGGGCACACACACACACATACACACACACACACACACACGCACCGAGCGGGCCCGCACTGCGCCCGCAACCCTCGGCTCCCCCCCGGCACCGCTCCGCCGGCCCCCCGGCTGCGGGCCCCACCCTCTGTCACCCCGCACAGGGAGCCTCGGCGCTCCCGGGGGGCTGCGTTTCCGCTCCCCTTTTTGAGACCGCAGTTATTAGGAAGAGGAAAATTTGCATGGAAATAGGACTAGGGCTTCCCACGTGTGTCTGCGGCCGCCGCGTGGGACACCACAAGCCTTCGGTTGCGACTGGATGCAACAGGGAAAAATGCTCTGGTCACACAGAGGAGGAGCATGTCTGAGCAGCAGGCACACCATCGGCCACATCATTTGGAAATAATAATAATAGGTGAAGTTGAGGCAAAACCCCAACAGAGGTGTTATTTACAGAAAACTTTCCCAGCAAAATGCTTTCTGCTGAGCTGTCGGGCACAATTCCACCCCTGCAGAATCCCTGTGCTGTACCGTGATCTCCCAAATGAAGGAGAGCACTGGAGGAGCCGGGAGCCACCACCAGGTGTGGATCTGGCTGCCGGCAGCATCCTCTGCAGGGCAGCAGTTAGCAGGGTGAGATGCTGCTGCCAGGAGCAGCACGTGGGGACAGTGTGCTTACAACCACCTTACCCCACCTGGGTCCTCTCCAGAAGATGCAGGAAGGGTCTGGTGGTTGGTCTGTCAGCCAGGTGCCGAAAGGCAGACATAGGTCGCTGCCACCAAGTGTCCAGGAGACCCCCGAAAATCATCCTCTGGTGGCTCTCCCCACTGCCTGTAAAGAGAGGGTGAAACATGGCCCCGTGTCAAAGAGCTGAAGGAGGGTCAGCGCAATGGCAGTTGTCCTGGCACTTCATCTAGACATCAGTTATTGCTTATTCAGAATTAATAATATAAACAATTGTTAATTTCTAGCAACAAATCTCTAAGTGAAATACCACCTCTCCTGTAATTACTGCTATCAGTGACGTTTTTCTTAAGTTCCTGGTGCTCTTTAAAATAGAAGTCACAAGTAGATGTTAGCACTCCGGCACTAAAATATTCCCATCAGATCACACTTTTCAGTCCAAGTTGTGTTTTATGTAAGTGTAAGGAAGCACATGCAGATGAGCCATTGTTAAACACTGGGTCAAATTTATAAGGGCTTAGGAGGAAATGAGATCCCAGATTTTCATTTGAAGACCGTGACCGATAAATCTGCTAGGTTTTGAGATGGCTGCATTACTCACAAGTTGTGGAGCCCCAGTGAGTTATGCAGTTCTTCCCAAACAAGTAACAATAAAATGTTTACAGCACCCAAAAGCATCATATATTGTGTTCAAACCATTTATTTTGTTTGATATTTTCCTCTTAAAAAGTCTGCTTCTCATTTTCCTCTTTTCATGTAGGCTGGTAACTCCAGAAACAATGATGTCATTCTTACACACAAAGTTCAGCTACATCCAGAAGCACAGTATAAACCCCAATTTAAAGGTTTGAAATTTATATCATGATTTGGGAAATAGAGGCATATACGTGAGTTTTACACACATGGACTGTACACAGCACCATAAAAAACGCAGAGCAGATTTTAGGATTCCAATGTGTTTGCCTGCGGTTATAAAGGTATAAATATTTAGAAATGACAGAACTATGAAGAAATCAGCCACTAAGTTAATTCCAGTTACAGGAGATATTTATTGTTAATGAATTGTTTTAACTCTAAGATATAAAAATTTTGTTACCCTTTTTCTTTTAGTTATACAGATGGAGATATTCCAGTGGATTTCGGTACTGATTTATATTTGTGGTAAGTACAGTGCCTGTTAGTTTATGAAAGTACATACTAAAATACAATCCCATGAAAGATAAACAGACCACAAAAGAAAATAGAGAGTTATGGCAGAAAATGTGCTGTTTTCTTTACTTCAGCACATTCCATCTAGAAGCAGGGGGTGAAGAACATGCTGGAAGTGGAGGGAAGGCCTGTGCCCTTCTCCTGTGCACCCACCCACCCACCCGGGCACCCGACAGCCCCCCTGGGAGACACTGCACCACCAAAGCTCTGGGATCAACGCTTTGATTTTTACTGAAATGCTGTGGAATCCTTCCCTGCTAATTTCTATTTGCTGCCCTGAAATGCTGGTGTTTCAAAGGTGCTTACAGGTGTGACTCACCTAAGGTGATCACTTAAGCAAATACTTAAAATCAATCCCTATTTATGCTCAAGGTAAGTTTCCACTGAATCCAATGATAGACTCGTTCTTTGCTACACAGGGAGTTAAACATCAAGTACTGCATCAGTGCTAGTTTAGACCAGCACGTTTCTTAGACCAGAGAAGATCTGAGTGGAGTTAAAATAACAAGATCTCCACTTTCCCCGGCCTTTCCACTGGAAACAACAGTGGAAAGAGATGAGAAATCCAAAAAATACAAGTTGTCAGTATTACCTCCGTGTGTTTAGCTGTTATCCACCTTCCAAAGCTGAATCTGCCACTCTCAGGCCAGACCTCCCTCGGCTTTCCTACGTCTTGTCTGGGATTCATCACAGGAGGGCTGACTACCTCCAGGAGCAGAGCTGTTTCCTGTGGGGCAGTGAGAGTGACAATCTGCAATCACCGAGCTGCCTAAAAACTAAATGTTTACATAGAACGAAAGCGTTTTAGAGGGAAAAAAAAAACAACCCACCATTTGTATTTTTCTCTCTAACCTGTGGACTGGGGGAGATGCGTTTCAGACTTTCTCTCTCTGCATTCTTCTAGGCAAATGCAAACAGAAGACCTCCCCTTAGCCCACTGACAAAGTTCTTTGACACATTAGTGTCTACCTCATCCGTTGCATCCTGGTTTGGAAAAAATCCCTTCCTGGCATAAATCCTACCCTCAAGTCATCCAATGGCTTAACTTGCAGTCACTTGCAAGTGTATGCTGGGATCCCCTGTCTCTCCCTGTTTGCAGAGCCCCCAGTAAGTCCCACGGAAACTCTCATACCACACTTGGCCAAACGTCCCTTGTTCCCCCACCAAGCATCAGACCTCTGAATTCATAACATTTTACATCACCTTCATGCCCAGTGCAAAGGAGGTTACATCAGCCATGCAGTTAACCATCACAAGCAGTTTGGGTATCCATGTAAAAATTGTGCCAAAAGCTGCAGGAACTCAAAATCAAGTGACTGAAGGTCACGTATTTAAATCTGCGTTGATGCAAGCTCAGACTTTAAAAAGCAGTGGGAAAAATAAACCACCTCTTAGGTGCTGGGAGATTCAACCTCACCATGGACTCCATGTGTTTTATTTTTTCAGTATCATTTCCTTCATTCTGTGCTTGACACTAGACAGAAGACCAGTTTCAGCAACAGCTCAAATTCTGCTCATTTATACTAACATAAAATATCTAGTGACTTTCCACTCCAGATCTACGTCAGGCTGAGCAGAACCTCTCCTAATACAAGCAAAGGGGAAGATTATGTTTTGCATTTTCAGAGGCATCCAGTTGGTCTAAGAATGTAAGTCCATTGGTTTTCAGTGATTTTCATGTGACTAAGTCCCTTCACAGAATCACAAATCATATGGGGTTGGAAGTGACCTCTGGAGATCATCTCCAGGTACATTTGAAAGGTCTATTGTTTTTGTACATTTCCCCACATTAACCTGTATTTGTGAAGGCATTAACTTTGAATTCTCACTACAAAATAAATCAGACTGAGGTCAGGTTTTGCCAGCTAAGTTACCTAAGCTTGATCTCCACACAGCCACTTTGCTAGAGACCCAAGTCAGCACTCATGATTTATTCATGGCAAGACGTTGCTAGGAGTGAGATACAAAGATTAGAGAACCTTTTACAGATAACAAGAAATAAACACAAATTTTGCAAATGGACTTGAAAAATATTTTATCATTGCTTGCTGCTGGCCATTGGATGCCTAAATATTTACCTTAAGATCTAATAAAATTTTGCTTTATATCCCACAGGGGCTATGCCTTCCCTGCAGAGAAGCTAAGAGTTGTGGCCTTGGTTTGACTCGGAGTAAGTGCTTTGGTTCCAAAGCTCTACTGGCTTACAGCAAAGTGCAATGCTTCGAGTTCACCTGGGACTTCTGAGGGCCTCACTTTGTTCCCAGCAGAGCAGCCTGTCCCTTTTCCAGCCTTTCCAAGTCATTACAGAACACAGGCACTAAGGGACTAAGCCTTCCGCCAGTTTAGCTGGCATCCACATGGTTACCAACAGTGAGAGCAACCAGCACTTTGGGTTAGCTCCTAGTCCAGTGTGGTGGGATGGGTCCATTACCTTGGGTGGAAATTGCTGACACACACCTGAGCTCACGGTTTATGTATTTGCAGTTAGAAATCAGCAATATCCGAGCTAAAACCGAAGTGAGGACAAACTCAGATACAGCAAGAGGGCAGCTTGTTACAGAAAGCCTCCCATGAGGAAACAGCAATAGAAAACATGTAAACCACATACCACCTCTGCCACCAAAACCTCAATGAAATACTTATCTCAAAGGCTAATAGGTAAATAGTAGCTTTATCAGGCAGGGGAAGTCTAAATGCTTCTCAGCACAGAAGTCACGCTAGTTTGCTGTGGACTAGTATAACTTACTTAACCAAAGCAGTATAAAAATCCTCCTTAAACACTTGCAATCCCTAAAAAATACCTCAATAAAGGCACCTTAAACAAAGTTCTATTAGTCACCCTTATGAAAAAAAGAGTGTATTTACTTTGTGTCCCAAGGATAAGCTCCCTACTCCCTCAAATAGGTTGAAACAAACCACTTACCTTCTTTATTCCAATCTAGGGTGGGGTTTTTTTTCTGCTTCTTTAGGAAGAGTGGGCACCCGATACTCTTATTTGCTTTGGTGATATGAGTGTGTGTGTACCCTACACTGAGTGACTGGTGA